AACCTCTTGCACAATCAGCACTTCTCTACGCACAGAAGCTCCAACGCAAGATACCAACTGGAAATCTGTACTGTGGCATTGACAGTGGAAAACTTTGCCATAGAACAATTTGATGTTAATTTCTAAGGTCATTTTCATGTCAAAGACTGGATTTTTTTTTTTTTTTAATTAATTCATGTTACCGAAGGTCTATTTGAGTTCATTTTCCGGCACTCATCCTGCTCTGCAGTGCTATGGTCAGCACTTTTCATGTCAGTATCTCACAGTGCTTGTTGGACTGCTTACTTAAAAAGTGCACAGCATCCTAAAGAGTAGGTATGCACCAATATTATTCAAGCTAATGACAAAAAGGTGGAGCCACCTAGAGGTTAAATTACTTGCCTGGTGTCTCACATCAAGCAAAAGAAGAATTTTAAAGTTTGGATCTGTGCTTTTTCCATTGGAAAACCACTTCTATTGTATTTTTGTCAGGTAACTGTTTTAGCCTCTATCCATGGCACAGGTTAAAGTCAGGTCTCCTTAAATGTTTGACAAGAGCAATTAGCTGTCTTTGTGATTGTCTTTCCCAGTCATTATGTTCTCTTCGGTATTTTATATTTAAAATGCACATGTAGCTACTCATGCAAACTTTTTCACAAAAAGAGACCAACTAATACTTGTTTTTCCGCAACCTTATTTACATTTATGCCAGAGGGTCATGAGTTTAAAAAAAAAAAAAACAAGCAAACAAACTATCAGTGAAAATATTAAGAATAAATTATTGAATATATACACTGAAATATGGACTAGCTCAGAATTAAATCCTCTATCTGTAATTTGAAATGAAGACTCCAACAGGGAACAACTTATAAATTAACTTTAGTGGGCAGTTCTGTGTGAATTTTAAGACTGTGAGGATCACTGACACAGTATTTTTGAACATATTCATCACAGTACAGCTTTCTCATCTTTTTTGCTATTTATCAACCATGTGTTCACCACTGGACTCACCTAGTTTCTCTGTCTATATGCACATTACTGCTGTACATTTCTCTGCCTTTAGATGAAATAACTCTTAACCATGTGTCCAGCTTCTACTAATATTGCTCACATAATACAGAAATTGTAAAGAGAGAAAAATATCTCTGAAGACTGATATTGTGCAGTCTTTGAGAATTACAATCCTCAATAGCTAAGATCTAATGTGATTGATAAACCTCTGTGGTTATAGGCACAGGAATGGTAAGAACAGACTAATTTTAGCCCTAAACTAGTGTTACTCTAGCCTTGCTATAGGCAACAAATGTATAATTAATCTTGGCTTTACCTTTTCTTTGCTACGTAAAAATGCAGATGGCTATGTTGTTCTGACAAGTTCGCATTTTTTATGGTTATTTTGTATTTTTCCCAAGGATTTGCAAGAGAAATTGATTCCCATACAAAGATGATTCCTTATAGAAAAATTTTTTTCTTGTTCAAAACCAAATTGGTTTTAACTCCCACAGTAGAAGACAGTCAAATATTACAAGATGACACATTCCCACTGGGGATGTGGATTTAGGAAAAAGCTAAGCAGCAAGCCAACAAAAAGCTAAGCCCTAAGACTTTCAGTTAAAACATTCAGTAAAGAGGATTGGGTTCAGCTACATCAAATCCTCTGTGCAAATACAAAAGACAGCTTCTAGGGGAAAACCTTTCAAAATGGACAACCATACCACACCACAGGAAACTCAAAATATGTCA